CCTTCCCTCTAGTCTTTCACTGCTAAATTAGGGACGGTTAGCGCAGATAACCTTCGTGTAGCTTTGCGTGAAATTCAAAATAAACCAATCTTTCGAAGTTGATAGCATACATTTTAGCACTGTAAATGGTGATATATGACCTGAAAAATAAAAATAAATTAAAGCACGAACTTACGTTCATTAACTACTCCATTTAAAAATTCTAGAATTTTACAAACAAATATTACATATCATAAAAAAGCATTAGAAATATATTGATTATTTAGTATTACCCTAAGTGTGAGACGCGAAATGTACTTGTCTTGGCACATATCTATATGTTTACAGTTTTGTTGAAACTCTTTAAATCTCTGCAGACAAATACATTATATTTAATTCATACAAGTTCAGGTTAAAAAATCTTATTTTGCCACCTAGAAGCGATGGCATTAAGAAATCTATAATAAGATGATTTCTGATCTCCTGAAGAGTCAGTCGTAAAGTGCTGGTTCTGTACGACGTAAATTTAATTAACATTGAATGTGAAAATAATGAAAACCCAAGCATGCACCAGTTAATTTAGCCATATATAATTAAATCAGTAGAATCAACACGAGTTTGAATGATAGGAAATAAATAGCATTTTGTGCTCGACCGAATACATACAAAAAGTAACTAAATGTGATAAGAGATCCAACAAGGATGAACTGAAATATGTTCAAATGGGAAGACTTGATGAACTTAAATATGTTCAAATAGTAAGACTTGAAGAACTTAAATATGTTCAAATGGGAAGACTTGATGAACTTAAATATGTTCAAATAGTAAGACTTGATGAACTATGTTCATATATGAAGCACTAACCAAATAAAATGCTTTCAAATGTGAATGATAGGAAATAACTAACGTTTTGCACTCGACGCAGTTTATATAAAAAGTGGTTACCAGTCAAAATATATCCAACAGGAAGCCTTAACCACATGAAATAAATGTCAATAGGAACCTTTAGCCAAATGAAATTATGTTGGAGAACTCATACATCTATACACAACTGATAAACTAAAACTCTTTGTAATATTTTACAAAAAATATATTTAGCTAAACCAATATATTACCTGAATTCAAAATGAAATACAGTTAAAATTTTTGCTTGTGTTAGGTAACAAGATATATAGTATTGTACCTAAATAAATTACAATATGATCACAACAGAAGTATCAGCTATTTAAACAAACTAATCATACATTATTAATAGCTCATGCACGCATAAATACGTCTGATTCAGAGCGTGACTTAGTGATTAGCATATCGGACTGGAAACCGAGAATCTCGGGTTTCAAACGTCATGCTACCAAATACAGTTCACACTTTCAGTTGTGAGTGTGCTAGAAGAGTGACAGTAAATTCCTCTATTCTTTTAAAAGAATCTCCTTCAGGCAACGAGTGCTTCCGACTGGCTGCATACCCTCTGGTTGCCAGTTTAAAATGAAGGAGACTATATCTGACCCATAAAGATCTATGACCTGACTGTTTAGCCCATTGTGAACAGTTCTTTAAGTATTATACAAAAGTACTTGCATTGACTCACAAGATGGATAATGAATCAACTAGACGAAACGTTTCCCATTTCACTGATTCATAAAAATACATTGTATTCGTCTGCACGATTCATTCATCATAACAAGTATCAGTCTTGAATAACTGGCCACTTGGGGTGACACTACTGATAAATGATTCATAATTAATACAGAAATTCTCAGAAGACTAGCACCGGTAATTACTTCAAACAGGGGATATAAAATTTAAACCACTCATATTTCTGAGGTGTTCCATAAATACACGTGTATGTTCTTTTAATTGAAATAATTTATATAATATCATAACGCCATTTACAGATTATGCACGGACGAAAAATAAAGAAACTTAACCAGAATGAATTCCTATTCGAAGTTTCAGTTGTTCCTGTGGCCGATGACGAATGCTAAAAGACATCACAGCATCTAAAAGTGCCAGCGACATCCTTGCAATTTCTCTAGCATGGATGTTACCGTTTCGTTCGGGAAGGCCTGACACTACCATGTATGCATCGCCGATCGTTTCCACCTGGAATAAATGTCTTCCTGGTTATACAATTTACCAAAAGAATTACAAAAACAATGTATATTGCACGTCTGTCATGGACAAACCTGAAAAAAAAACATTCCAAATACCCTAAATATAACTTATGTGGAAATAATCGATGTCAAGGACACTTTTTTGTGTAAATTTAATAAAGATGGCAAAATATGTTACAGTAAATTGCAATTAGCATTACTTTTAAATTGTAGATACTGTACATATTTAAATGAGCTCATTTTTTCTTAATTTCTATACCAAAAAATACTAGAACTTAACTTTCGTTTGACACTTTACACAGACCTTCAGCGGATTCTATGGATTTTGGAAAATTTGAGAAGATATAAATGGTGTTCATATCATGCATGCTATACGTCTATGTAAGTGATACCTAATGATTAACTTTCTCACCTTATACACATGAAAGTTTTCGATAATGGAATCAAAACACGTGTACAAATCGTTTAGAAGATCGACGACCTGCAGATGGAAAATAAGTTTGTGAAAACGTAAGTCCTAAAAAACAAAACAGCTTTTTTTTGATAAGATTTTCATCAACATTTTTAATTATTATGTGAACATTGAAATGAAAAATAGTTAGATATATTATAGAATAACCATCATGAAATATGAGAAAATGCTAAGTTTTTAAATATCTTTGATTTATGTCTTAATGTTTCCTGTCAGCCGTTATCGTAAATAACCGTAACGGTATTAATGATTCCAACATTTCCACAGTCACGTATAAGATGGCTTTATTCACGTGTTGGAACATCTTTGGAAATGATGTTTCGATCTATCAGTATAGAGTTGTTTAAAGTCATTTAGAAATATACACTTTGTTCAGATCATTTCTGACTTTAATCCTTGAGCTTAAGTTTTGTCTGTAAAATGAGTGCACATCTAAATGTTCATGCATAAAAAAAAAGAAAGAGATCTTAAATAGACACCCTCCTAAGACGATGGCAGAGTTGTAGTTTGTTTAATCAGCAAGTAACTGCATTGATCAAGTAGCATAATTCTCCAGCATGAAATAAAAATGGCCTCTACCCGTTTTCCATTTTATCAGTGTTAACGCCTATCATATCTACTTTTAAATGATCTTTTATAACAGCGTTTCTCAAACTGAGGTCCACCTGTCGTGTCAGAAATTTCATACAAATATATTAAAAAATATGATTTATAGAATAAAAAATATTTTTCGTAAAATTAAATTTATATGAATTAAAATATTTAATTTTGGGATACAGCTTTTCATGTACATATATATTTTTTTCAAAACAAAAAACATCGATAAGTGTCCTGGGGTTACTAAAGTTTAAGAATCGCTGATCTGGATGGTTAATCCGAAAATCAAAGCCACAACTTGATAGGTGTTATCAACCGACTAAGTTTTTTACAGCAAAAACTAAGACATATTGTTCCAGACCCTTACCGGAACCTACAAAGAGTATGAACTGTTATTCCGGCAAGAGGAAATGCAACATCACATTATAACAGTGTTTATTAGTACCCTATCCCAGTAACCCCTACCTTTATGACTACTTTTGGAAAGGCAATGACTAATAAAGCACAGCCGTGAAATAAAGCTAATATTTTAAAAAAATATTATTAAAACCATATGCAAAAAATAGTGTAAGGGAGGGGAAGAAAGATTGTATTCTTCAATTACCCCTGATTTCCAGTTGAAGGTGTGTTAGTGAATAAA